GTTTCTTAAGATGCTGTCCTCAAACACAAAAAATACGTTTCTTAGATAAATAAATTTAGGCAATTCTACACACTATGTCCATGGAGTCCTTTTAAACATAATACCTATCAATATTCATTGGTGTTTCTATCCAGCAGAACACACTTTGGGCAGCCTTGCTTGTCTCTTACTTGGTACTGAGCTCCTAGAAGTTAAGTCATTGCTAATATGACTGGTCAAAGTCTAAACTTTTCCACTTCCCACAGTGTCTGCATTTATTGAGACGCATGACCCATTTCTGGGCTTACAACAACTCTAGACGAACAATTTGTGTGGCAGGCTTGGGCTTGAACTCCACTTCATGGTGATGATAAAAATTCATTTCACACTATTTTCTGAAACAGCAACAAAGCAAGTTATCTTGGCTTCAAAAGAAACATATTCAGTAGGAAGCACTGGATGGGGAAAACAGAGGAAAGATTTTTTGGTGACTTGAGTGTTTACATTTCCACACCAATTGTTTTGTAAGAATCAAGAAAATCTGCAGTAGCACTCTCTGAAGAACTTCAGGCTTTTAAAAGCAACAAGTTCCATAGCGACATTGTTGCTTTGGATTGCTTCACTCTCATATGTGATAGTCATCTCTACTTGCTTTGTTATCCAAACCTAATTCAGCATGCAGCCCTAGAATGAGTAACAAATGTTTTTTATTTAGGGCTGCATTAGAATGTTGTAAAACAGCAAATTCAAGGATTGTGTGACAATAAAGAAAATGACAATAAACAGAAACACACACACACACACACACATATAGGTATATATAATATGATTGAACTGGAAAGAAACTTAAGAAATATAAATATTAGCTATACCAGAACAGATATTTGTATTTCAACTTACATAGAATTAAAGAATATTATACATATGATGATTTTGGTGTTTTCTCACAAGATAAAATAAGCAGGAAAATGTGATAGAGTATAATATATAAGCTTGTATAATATATAGGTTTGTATTATAGCTTGAAGTCAGGTAGCATGATGCCTCCAGCTTTGTTCTTTTTGCTTAAGATTTTCTTGGCTATACAAGCCCTTTTTATTTTGTTCCATATTTCAGTTGGCCTCCAATTGAAATAGTGTAGAGTTCTCCATGCATTCCTATGCTGCCTGCCCTGAATCATCTAAATCAAAGTGCCAGAGTAATAACACCAGACACTGGATCCCAAAGACTGGAGCTCAAATGGGAATTTTTCAACAAGTAGCAGTGTGACTTCAGGAAATATTTAATTTAAAATATGTGGATAATGATATCCCTATCCCTGAACTTGTTGTGAACATACATATGAACAATGTATATGAAAGACGCCACATTGTGATAGATGTGTGCTAACTTATGTGCTGAATAAATGTGGATGTTATTCTGGGTTAGTTCATATGTCTGAACTAAATTATCAATGATTCATAATGCACAGATTCTAATTACTCCTTTAAAAGCAGGAGGGCTATATGGCAGGTGTTTTTATTTATTTTTAAAATTTTATTTTATTTTAAGTTCTGGGGTACATATGCAGGACGTGTAGGTTTGTTACATAGGTAAACATGTGCCATGGTGGTTTGCTGCACCTATCAACCCATCACCTAGGTATTAAGCCCAGCATGCATTTATCTATTTATCTATTTTTATAATAGAATACTTTATATTCTTTTGGTTATATATCTAGCAATGGGATTGCTGGGTCAAATAATATTTCTGGTTCTAGGTCTTTGAGGGATCACCACACTGTCTTCTACAATGGTTGAACTAATTTACACTCCCACCAACAGTGTAAAAGCATTCCTATTTCTCCACAGCCTCACCAGCATCTGTTGTTTCTTGACTTTTTAATAATCACCATTCCGACTGGTGTGAGATGGTATCTTATTGTGGTGTTGATTTGCATTTCTCTCTTTATCCGTGATGTTGAGCTTTTTTTCATATGTTTCTTGGCTGCATAAATGTCTTATTTTGACAGGTGTCCTTTGTCCACTTTTTAATTGGGTTGTATGGTTTTTTCCTTGTAAATTTGTTTAAGTTCTTAGTAGGTTTTGGATATTTGATGGATAGGTTGTAAAATTTTTTTCCCATGGTGTAGGTTTTCTTCTCACTCTGATGATAGTTTCTTTTCCTGTGCAGAAGCTCTTTAGTTTAATTAGATTCCATTTGTCAATTTTTGCTTTTGTTGCAACTGTTTTTGACCTTTTCATCATAAAATCTTTGCCAGTTGCTATGTCCTAAATGGTATTGCCTAGGTTTTCTTCTAGGATTTTTATAGCTTTGGGTTTTACATTTAAGTCTTTAATCCACCTTAAGTTGATTTTTGTGTAAGGTGCAAAGAAGGGATCATGTTTCAATTTCCTGCATATGGCTAGCCAGTTCTCTCATCACCATTTATTAGATGGGGAATCCTTTCCCCATTCCTTGTTTTTGCCAGGTTTGTCAAAGATCAGATGGTTGTAGGTGTGCAGTCTTATTTCTGAGATCTCTGAGACACATTGGTCTATGTGTCTGTTTTTGTACCAGTACTACGCTGTTTTGGTTACTGTAGGTTTCTAGCATACCTTGAAGTCAGGTAGCATGATGCCTCCAGCTTTGTTCTTTTTGCTTAGGATTATATTGGATATACAAGGCCTTTTTTGTTGTTGTTTCTCTATATGAATTTTAAAGTAATTTTTTCTAATTCTGTGAAGAATGTCAACAGTAGTTAAATGAGAATAGCATTGAATCTATAAATTACTTTGAGCAGTGTGACCATTTTCACAATAGTGATTCTTTTTATCTATGAGCGTGGAACATTTTTCCATTTGTTTGTGTCCTCTCTTATTTCCTTGAGCAGTGATTTGTAGTTCTCCTTGAAGAAATCCTTCACTTCACTGTTAGCTGTATTCCTAGGTTTTTAATCTCTTTGTAGCAATTGTGAATGGAAGTTCATTAATGATTTGGCTCTCTGCTTGTCTATTGTTGGTACCCTACAGGAATGCTTGTGATTTTTGCAAATTGGTTTTGTATTTTGAGACTTTGCTGAAGTTGTGTATCAGCTAAGAAGGTTTTGGGCCAAGACGATGGGGTTTTCTAGATATAGGATCATGCCATCTGCAAACAGACAATTTGACTTCCTCTCTTCTTATTTGAATATACTTTATTTCTTTCTCTTACTTGATAGCTCTTTGAAAGGCCAGAACTTTCAATACTATTTTGAATAGGAGTGGTGAGAGAGGGCATCGTTATCTTGTGCCAGTTTTCAAGGGAATGCTTCCTGCTTTTGCTCATTCAGTATAAGATTGGCTGTGGGTCTGTCATAAATGACTCTTATTGTTTTGAGGTATGTTCCATCAAGACATGGTTTATTGAGAGTTTTTAACATGAAAGGATGTTAAATTTTATTCAAGGCATTTCCTGCCCATTAAGATAATCACGCGGTTTTTGTCTTTTGTTCTGTTTATGTGATAAACTGTGTTTATTGATTTGTGGATGTTGAACCAGATTTTGCATCCCGGGGATAAAGCCAACTTGATTATGGTGGATAAGCTTTTTGATCTTCTGCTGGATTCAGTTTGCCAGTATTTTATTGAGGATTTTTGCATCAATGTTCTTCTGGGATATCGGCCTGAAGTTTTCCTTTATTGTTGTATCTCTGCCAGGTTTTGGTATCAGAATGATTTTGGCCTCATAAAATGAGATAAGAAGGAGTCTTTCCTTTTCAGTTGTTTGGAATAGCTTCATGATAAAAGCTTCCAGCTCTTCTTTATATTTTTGATACACTTTTGATAGAATTCAGCTGTAAATCCATCTGGTCCTGGGCTTTTTTTAAGTTGGTAGGTTCTTTATTATTGCCTCAACTTCAGAGCTTGTTATTGGTCTATTTAGGGATTCAATTTCTTCCTGGTTCAGGCTTGGGAGAGTGTATGTGTCTAGGAATTTATCAATTTCTTCTAGATTTTCTAGTTTATTTCCATAGAGGTGTTTATACTATTCTGTGATGGTTGTACTTTTGTGGGGTCAGTGGTGATATCCTCTATCATTTTTCATTGTGTCTATTTGATTCTTCTCTCTTTTCTTCTGTATTAGTCTAGTTAGCAGTCATCTATTTTATTTTTTTCAAAAAACCAACTCCTGGATTCACTGATTTTTTGAAGGGTTTTTCAAGTTTCTATCTCCTTCAGTTCCACTTTGATCTTGGTTACTTCTAGTCTTCTCCTAGCTTTGGGGCTTGTTTGCTCTTGGTTCTCTAGTTCTTTTACCTGTGTTAGGATGTTGACTTGAGATCTTCCTAGCTTTCTGATGTGGGCAATTAGTGCTATAAATTTTCCTCTTAACACTTCTTTAGCTGTGTCCCAGAGATTCTGATATGTTGTTGTGTCTTTGCTCTCATTTGTTTCAAATAATCTCTTGATTTCTACCTTATTTTCATTAATTACCCAGAAGTCATTCAGGAGCAAGTTGTTCAATTTCCACATAGTTGTGTGTTTTTCAGAGAGTTTCTTAATCTTGAGTTCTAATTTGACTGCATTGTTGTCTGAGAGACTGTTATGATTTCAGTTCCTTTGCATTTGCTGAACAGTGATTTCCTTCCACTTACGTGATCAACTTTAGAGTAAGTGCCATGTGGTGCTGAGAGGAGTGTGCATTCTGTTGTTTTGGGGTGGAGAGTTCTGTGGATAGGTATCAGGTCTACTTGATCCAGAGCTGAGTTCAAATCCTGAGTATCCTTGTTAATTTTCTGTCTTGATGATCTGTCTAATATTGACAGTTGTGTGTTAAAGTCCCCCACTATTATTGTGTAGGAGTCTAAGTCTCTTTGTAGGTCTCTAAGAACTTGTTTTATGAATCTGGGTACTCCTTTATTGGGTGCATATATACTCAAGACAGTTAGCTCTTCTTGTTGAAGGGATCCCTTTACCATTATGTAAAGCCCTTCTTTGTCCTTTTTAAATCTTAATTGGTTTAAAGTCTGTTTTGTCAGAAACTAGGATTGCAAACTCTGCTTTTTTCTGCTTTCTATTTGCTTGGTAAATTTTCCTACATCCCTTTATTTGAGCCTATTGTGTCTTTGCCCATGAGATGGGTCTCTTGAATACAGCACACCAGTAGATCTTGACTCTTTATTCTCCTTGCCATTTTGTATCTTTTAATTGGGGTATTTAGCCCATGTACATTTAAGGTTACATTGCTATATGTGAATTTGATCCTTTCATCATGATGTTAGCTGGTTATTTGCATATTTTTTGATGTAATTGCTTCATAGTGTCATATCTTTGTACTTTAGTGTGTTTTTGCAATGTCTGGTAACAGTTTTTCCTTTCCATATTTAGTGCTTCCTTCAGGAGCTCTTGCAAGGCAGACCTGGTGGTGACGAATTCCCTCAGCATTTTCTTGTCTGAAAATGATTTTATTTTTCCTTTGCTTATGAAGTTTAGTTAGGCCAGATAGAAAATTCTGGGTTGGAGATTCTTTTCTTTAAGAATGTTTGATATTGGCCACCAATTTCCTCTGGCTTACAGGGTTTCTACTGAGAGGTCCACTGTTAGTCTGATGAGCTTCCCTTTGTGACTTGGCAGTTCTCTCTGGCTGCCCTTAACATTTTTTCCTTCATTTCAACCTTGGAGAATCTGGTAATTGTGTGTTCTGGGGTTGATCTTCTCATGAAGTATCTTACTGAGGTTCTCTGGATTTTCTGAATTTGAATATTGGCCTTTTTGTTAGGTTGGGGAAGTTCTCCTGGATGATATCCTGAAGTATGTTTTCCAACTTGGCTCCATTCTCCATCTCTGCTTCATGTACCCCAATCATTCATAGATTCAGTCTTTTTACATAATCATAGTTCTCAGAGGTTTTGTTCATTCCTTTTCATTCTTTTTTCTCTAATCTTACCTGCATGTAAGATTTCAGCAAGATGGCCTTCAAGCTCTGAAATTCTTTCCTCTGCTTGGTCTATTCGATTATTGATATTTGTGGTTGCATAGTGAAGTTTTCGTGTTGTGCTTTTCAGCTCTATATTGCAGATTTTGAGCTATGAAGACAAATTTCCTAGCTGCATCTGTGTTGCAAATTAACAGAAAGGCTGACCAAAACAAATTTAAACTATGATAAGATGTATTTTTTCCCTCAAAAGGAAGTGAAAGGTGGTGTGGCTCCCAGGGCTTATTGAGTCACAGCTCAAGAAAGTCCCTCTTTCCTCTGTTGTCCACAGTGGTAACTTCCTTCTGTTTGAAGCTCTCTCTCCAATGGGAGTGAAAATAAGTCCTTTCAACCATGGGATAAGTTTCTCCATTGGTTTTGGATTGGGCCAACTTAGGTCACATATTCCTGAGCAAATGACAGCCAGAAGAATATTGAGTTCTTATGGGCTTAAGTATTAGTTCCTCAAACAATAGTGACAGGAAAAATGGAATGATCATAATTGATTTAATCAAATCAACTTGAATTTGTTGTGAAGGTACTTATGAACAATATATATGAAAGACCTTACATTGTGATAGATGTGTGTTGTATTATCTGCTGGTATTAGGGTCACCTCTCAAACCACATGCCTGCTGCATGTTAGGAGATCAACTCTAACAGGTTTATCCCTATAACCAGATTTTTCCAGAATAGCTATAGATACTGCTTTTCCTAAGCCTCATTTAGTCACTGTTTCACCTTTATAGGGCAATAACCCATTCAATTTTGAATCTGATATTTATAATGCAATTAAAAAGACTATTTTCTCTTCCTTGTTTTATCTAAACTAGACATATAAATTTTCCAAGACCACACAAACAGGAAAGAAACATAGCTTAGTCAGTCATGCACCATAACGACCTTTTAGTCAAGGACAGATAGCTTATGCAATGGTAGTCTAATGAGATAACAATGGAACTAAATATTCCTACATCCAGTGATGTTGTAGTCTTTGTAACATCATAGTGTAACACATTACTCACATATTTGTCCTGATGCTGATATAAATAAACCTATTGCACTACCAGTCAAATGCAAATACAAGACCTTACAATTTGGTACAGTACATAATATTTGATAATGATAATAAATTACTATGTCACACTGGTTTACGTATTTAATAAACTGTACTTATTTTTTTCAAGTCTACTCTTTCTGCTTTTAAAAACAGGTAACCATAAAATAGCCTCAGCCATGTCCTTCAAGAGGTATTCCAGGAGAAGACATTGTTATCAAAACAGATCATAGCTTCATTCCTGTTACTGCCCCTGAAGACCTTCCAGTGGGACAAGATGTGGAGGTGGAAATGGTAACATGGGTGATCCAGACCCTGTGTAGGCCTAGCCGAATGTGTGTTTGTGTGTGTCTCAGTTTTTATCAAACAAAAAGTAAAAAAACAAGTAATAGAAAAAAAAACTTATAGAATAAGGATATAAAGAAAATATTTTTAATAGAGTACAATGTGTTTATATTTTAAGATGTCATTACTAAAGAGTCAAAAAAGTTTAAGAATTTAAAAGTTCATAAAGTAAAAAAGTTGCAGTAACTAAGGTTAATTTCTTATTTAAGAAGGAAAAGTATTTTTAAGCAAGTTTAAAATAGCACATGTACAGTGTTTATAAAGTCTAAAGTAGCACACAGTAATGTCCTAGGCCTACATTCCCACTCACCACTCACTCACCACAGCAACTTCCATTCCTGCAAGCTCCATGCATGGTAACTGCCCCATACAACTGCATCATTTTTTCAATCTTTTATACTATATCATTACTGCATATCTCTTCTATGTTTAGATAGGTTTAGATGCACAAATACTTACTTTATATTACAATTGCCTATAATATTCAGTACAGTAACATGTTGTATAGGTTTGTAGCCTAGGAGCAATATGCTATGCCATCTAGTCTAAGTGTGTAGTAGGCTTTACTGTCTAGGTTTGCGTAACTACATCCTATGATACAACAATGAAACTGCATAACTACTTATTTCTCAGAAAATTTCCCTGCCAGGAAGTGATGCATGACTGTACTGTATTTCAACACAGGAGTGTACATCATCATGTACTATATGTTTGATGTTTAATGTTAAGTATGAAATGCATTTACCACATAACAATTTTGACCAGATGCTATTTGAGGGTAAGAGCTATCATGTTTCATTTCTGGTTCTATATATTTCTACCTGCATGACTTTCAGCAAATGAAAGTCACTCTCCTGTGGCTCACTTTCTCACAATGTAAAATGGAGATAAAAACAGTATTTACCTCATAAGGTTGTTGTGAGGATTAAATGACTTAATATATGTAAAGTGTACAGTATGTGATAGGAATGTGAAAATACTAGGGAAGTATTGGCTATTATTATGATATTCCCATCATGATTTTTCGTATTCTTCAAGTAGTGAGTAGTAGTATTGAGGATGTGTCAGTATAGACAAGAAAAATAAAAATGAAGATATCTTTTTATATGCATGTTCAAGATTATTATTAAGAATTTTCTTTTAAACAAAATATATCGCATTTTAGAGACTGCGATGAGATTTGTGGCAAACGCATGTCTGGAAAGACATATTTCAGCAAAGCGATGGAAACCCAATACTTCAATTCGCATGCTCCATGGGGCTATACAACTCCTCAGGACACGCTCATGCCAATGTTCAGAGGGTAAAAAAGAATTCCTTCTTAAGTTTCTTTAAGTGGAATTTTGGTGAGATTTACATTGCCAGTTGTTCAGAATTTATTGACTCTGAAAAAATATCTAGAATCTCTTCTACCTGTTATGGAATAACTATGCCTATGTGATTATTATTTTTGGAATATTCTTTAAATTCCAATAAATTTGAAAGGCTACGAGTAGCTTATATTATTCACCAATAATATAAATTTGGCTCTTATTTTAAAAATTGTTTGAACAGTACTTAACTAATTAATAATCTAGGAATTAAACAACCCGGGCATCAGCACAACCTACTTCTGTAGTTTGCTAAAAGGTTGAGCTAATGAGGCCAAAGTTACAAATTCTGTTTAAGTACGACATCATCTAGTTTGAAAAGCTCTATTCTGTAATCAGTCCAACTCCAGGCAGCCCTCTGGGAACTGTGGGCCTCTGAGGACAAACGAGAGACCCAGGAAGGGCAGAGAGGGTATAGTTTGCACCTAAACAACTGTTAGAAAATGATCCAGAGCTGTACCTCACAGATAGTGGGTCTGCAGCAACATGAATAATAACGATTACAACTGTCGCAGTTTGTTGAGTACTTACACATGCTAGACACACTGATAAATGTTTTATAAAGTTGATTTCATTTTCATAACACCATAAGAAACAAAGTATTATCACTCCTTTTCCAAAGATGAAAAACATGAAACTTGGAGAGTTAAAGAAACTTGCTCAAAATTATAAAGCTAATGATCAGTAGAGCTATAGCACTGCATGTTACAAATGCTCCTTTTCAGGGAAGATGGTTGAAAATGAGGGTGCACGACAGCTGATCACAAGTCTTAATGATGCTTTACAATATATTTTGAGATGCACTCTTTAGTTGCAGTTTTCAAATAGCTCCATCAAAAGCAAACAAAATTTTTAATTTAAAAATGCAAAACTATTTCTTGCTGATTTTTTTCTTTGGAAGAGGAGGGCTGGATTATGACGGTGACTGTACTAATATTAACAGGTGTTATTGAGGACTTAACCATGAGCCACACGCTGTTTAGGCACATTTAATCCTCCCTACAACCTCAAGTATGGGATAGGTATTATTTTACTCCTGCTCTTCTACAAATAAAATAAATGAGGCTAATAAGCTAAATAATTTCCCCTAAGATCACACAATTGTCAAACAAGAGGGTCAGGACTTAGCCTAACCTCCATATAAGGTCAAAGCCCATGCTCTTACTGAGACATTACACTGAAAAAAATAAACAGCAAAGAAATATTTATATAATTTGGTGGACTTGTGATAAAAATTACACCCAACTCCTGATTATTCCACATAAATTCATCTTCCCCATAGCTCCAAGAATGATTTGTCAATGGTTTCATGGCATAATATGTTAGACCTATAATGAAAGCCTCTTGTGAAAGCATAAATATTTCCTGGTAAACAAAAAATGCAAGGAATGGGGTATACACACTTCCTTTCATATTTTCACTGAGATATAGATTCTCACTTAACTATTTTTGTTTCATCTAATTGGTGAAAAGCAGTAATTTTGTTGATACTTCCTTAAGGTACATGTGAACTCTATAAATGCTTACCTTTACTTACAGCATGTATGCATTCAGCCATTAAAAGAAAATGGAGAAAATTTTAAATTAAATTTCATCAGTTGTTCAAATACATGTCTCTCTGGTCACATCTTCATGATGAATAGTAGCAGACAAGCAACACAGCTAATAAGTTATTTTAATAGGATGATGTGGCAGTGTGTGAACTGTTACCTCCTGGGAGAGTAAGTGACAGATTCCAGTTCTCATTACTGTGTAGATTAGTCTCAGAGCATTCAGTAGTGCCTAGTGGGCAGCTCTGTTGAGTGCCCTTAATTTGGAAAAAGAGACAGGAGGCCCACGTGCCCAAGAAACACTAACAGCAGATGATCTGGAGTTGAAGGCTTTTAGAGCAAGGGACTCTCCTGAGAAGATGGCAATTATTCACCGAGTTTTTCAGGTGACTGCTGACAGCTCTCTTCCCTTTAGTCTGCATCAGTACAGATAACAGAAATAATAGAGGACTGCTGGATTTTACCTCACCTATAAGGAGGCAAGTGCAGAATGTTTCAAAGTTATAGTATATCCATAAAATCACAAATAACTTTTTGATTTTGTAGGATGGCAGTGAGCAGAAGTAGCATAGAAAATTGAAATTTATCAATAATCTTGATATCTTATTTTTTAGACAATAGTTTTAACCCCTTCCACCAAGCCACCAATCAAGCTTGGTATTGATTTATTTAAAAATCTTATGCGTGCTATTTCTGCCACATCATAACAAACACAAACACTGTTCTTATTTCTGGGCATTTAAAGGTACCAAAATAGCACTCTTCAATACTATTTAAAAGCTTCCAAACTTTTTTGACTGAATCCCTTAATAAGAAAGATGGTTTATATACAACCAATACCCATATACATGTAGGTATTTATATAAATGAAACTAAAGTTTTAGTATATATGATGCACACTTATCTGCATTATTCTATTTAAATCTTTTCCTTTATTTTATTATACTGTACTGTTTCCTTTTCAGAAATGTTGATTTTGTAAAATGTCAATTATCTTTTTAAAAATTGTTTAAAAATTGATTTACCACTTTCCAAATAAGATCTACAGTTTGAAAAAATGTGTGAAAGAACCCTGTTTCAGGGCAAACGCTTTTTCACATTAATTTTTGAAAGAATAATAATTTAATTACTGAGAGATTATTATATGTCCCAGGTGCTGTGCCACTGCTTTACAAAACTTCTTACCGAATTTACTCTTCACAACAATGATGGAAGTAGATATTGTGGTTTATATTTCTCACATAAAGAAAGCCAAGCTCAGAGAGGTAAAGAACGTTGCTGTACACTGTTTACAATAGCAAAGACCTGGAACCAACCCAAATGCCCATCGATGATAGACTGGACAGGGAAAATGTGGCACATATACACCATGGAATATTTTGCATCCATAAAAAGTGATGGGTTCGTGTCTTTTGTAGGGACATGGATGAACCTGGAAACCATCATTCTCAGCAAACTGACACAAGAGCAGAAAATCAAACACCACATGTTCTCACTCTAGGCGGGTGTTGAACAATGAGAACCCATGGACACAGGGAGGGGAGCACTACACGCTGGGGTCTGTTGGGGGGAAATAGGTGAGGGTCAGTGGGGGAGGGAAGTTGGGGAGAGATAGCATGGGGAGAAGTGCTAGATGTGGGTGATGGGGAGGAAGGCAGCAGATCACACTGCCACGTGTGTGCCTATGCAACAATCTTGCATGTTCTTCACATGTACCCCAAAACCTAAAATGCAATAAAATTTAAAAAAAAAAAGAACGTTGCTGTAGTACACACAACTCGAAAGTAGTGGAGCTATAATATTGGCACATAGTAGGCATGTAATAAACATTCATTGAATGGATTTATGAATCAATCGGTATTTATTTATTCATTCATTTATTTATTAGAGACAGGATCTCACTCTGTTGTCCAAGCTGGATTGCAGTGGCTTGATCCTATCTCACTATAGCCTTGAACACTTGGGCTCAAGCAAACCTCCCACTTCATCCTCCAAAGTAGCAGGGACTAGAGGTACAGTCCGCCGCACCTGGCTAATTTTCAAAAGTTTGCTGTAAAGCCATGGGGTCTTACTATGTTACTCAGGCTGGCCTCAAACTCCAAGCCTCAAGGGATCCTCCTGCCTAGGCCTACCAAAGTGCTAGGATTATAGGTGTGAGCCACCATGCCTAGCCTTACTCAACAATTGAGAATAGTGCACAAACCCACTGACTTGGCCACTGGATATATTGATGGCTAATCCTCATTCCAGCATTTCTCTGGGGACCACAATCTGAAGTTATAGTATTCAGCTATCTCAAAATAAAAATAATTTTTATCTGAAAACTGCAAAAATTATTTTTTGATTGGGAGGGTGACAATGATATTGATGATGCCATTGATGATCATGGCTAATATGTATCGATTTTTCAATATGTGCCAAGCACAATCCTACATGTTTTTACATGTATCAGTACAAAATAATAGGAGCTATCTCATAAGGCTGTTATGAGGATTAAATTTATTTACTCTTTTTAATCAGCTCAAATGGATAGATGCTATTATTATCTTCATTTGATGGCTGAGAAGATTGAGGCACAAAGTTATTGAAGAGCTTGGCCAAAGGCCTACAA